CACACACTATATATATATATATATATATATATATATATATATATATATATATATATACACATATATAGCAGTTGTTGTTCATCGACTTGGTCAACTCTAGACAAAGGATTGAAAGTGTTGTCGAATGAATATATTGCACGATAAAAACCACATTTCAGGCTGAGCATCAAGGCAAGGTACATTCTGTATCTATATTGTACTATTTGACAGCCCTGACACTTATGCTTCAATAGACAGACCACATGACAATCTGTTTCTGTTACAAGCCGTATTCAACTCTTATACTTTGATGCATCCGACAACGATGGGAGTGAGACTATACCGCCAATGTAGTGTTTTCTTCTTAATCACTTTTAATCAGAGAATAGTAGAGTTTGTACGATTCATCTGGTGATGTACAACACAAGGCGATTCACATGAAAAGACTCACGGCAGTACCTACAGTTCAATACTTCTACATGAACCATTTTGTACAGGAATCTCCCCCTAGTAGAAGTAAGTTGTGTTGCCTCATATGCTAGTTTAGTCCTTAGGAATTGTCTTTAATATATCTCCATATACACACACTGTTTTTTTCCAGATACGATTCCGGCTCGGAGGAATCTGCAGTGTGGGTAAATGCAATTTTTTCGAACATATGGGTTTTGCAGAATGAAAGTATATTTAGGTATGTATCTAAGGGCTAATGCTTCAATAGGCGTCTATTGGGTGCGAACACTGTAACAGCGGCGTATACGTATAGCTCAATTTACGGGTTGTTCCTCGGTACATAGATCAGGTCATAGGCGGTTTTTAATTGTGCAAAGGCAATAGGGACTTCTGCGATGTGTGCACTCGTAGATTGCAATAATGTGCTTAAGGGCCGAAAGGCGAGGCCACCTCTCAGGCCTACATGCTTTTCACTGCAAATTATGTAACTGTACAAACTGCTTTTCTGCACGACAAATAGCCCCGCTCAGTGGGATATATTCTGATATTCGTTTACTAAGACACAATTGCTCATAGACAGTTCCTATTGATATCTCACATGTTTCATTTTGCATCCGTGCAAACGTGAACGTTTGATCAAATTCACATGTTTGGATTATTATGTTTGCTCTCTCGACTACTTTATGCAAGATTATTTCACGTAATCATTCTAAACTTCAACTGTTGCCACGCACTCTATCTCATAGATACATAGCCAATGATCTTTTGTGTTTGCAGTAGCAATTTGATCGACCTCCTCTACATCTCTCATCCCGCAAATGACTGTGATGAGGATTGTTATTTGACACCGCTACGCATTTTAATGATGCGCGTGCATACTTTGCAAAATCATCTTCGCTACAGGCAAGGACTACAGAAGTTCATCGAGGGCGAGCTTGATGATCTCTACAAGGAGTCTTTTGGATGTTTTCTGGAAGATCTCACTGTGCCACAGACCACAATCGGAGCCTGTTTTCCAACAATCACCAATTTTGTCACGCTGAATCATCCGTCCGCTAAGTAAGTGGTGAAAAACTCTCTCGAAAGATTTAGTACAATAGACCCGAACACAAATCTGACAGAATGTGACATATCTCGCTAAGTAGATTTACAGCTTGAAACACCCGCCTGCTGGAGGTGCCTAGCATTTGACAGATACATATTCAGCTGCAAAATGCTTACCGGGATGAACGGGAAGATTTCATGGTATTTACCGAGTGTCGCGCCTTGCTGAGTATATGCTTTACTATTTATAGTACACGTAATCGATCAGTTTTCTAATATTGAAATTTTGTTATTTTTCTTCAGTGGCCCATTCCGCGTCTGTGCCGATTTTTCAATAAGTGGGTCTTTGTCTCTGACTACCAGACTCGTCGTGCGAACACTGAGGATACCAATCAAAGCTTTGATTCATATATCGGAAATCACAGGTTCGTTCCTGTTATATACTCAACTAAAACCAACATTCGCCACACATGCGTATACATTTGATAATTTCTGATTTGTGTATGCATCTAGCAACGTAACTGAATCGATGACCTTCGTTATTTCAGGTAAACTGCTCTTCGAGTTTAATACATTCCCTGAACCTACCATGTCGATATCATTCTATCCGAATGTCATCATCAAGTGCCCGTCTCAAGGTGGGTGAGAGTAATATTCACAATAACTGATGTTGCTTCTATCTGCCGACGGCACGGGCGGTGTTGATTTCAAATTTACCACTTTAGAAACAGCTTATTGGATACATCCGATCGCCTTGCATACCTTAAGTCATGTCAATGAGTTGATCTACTTTGCTGTCGTTTCTGTATTCTATATGATATGACCCCTTTGATCAGAGTAGTGATGCTGTAGACTTTTAGGCTTGGTTTCAATGTATGCCTGTGTCTCGGACTCCGGGCCCAACAAATTCCTAGTAAAAAGTTGTGAAGATGAATTTGCAAACGACTCTACCGACATTGCAGCTGTTTAAAGCACCAACATTATAAGGTAAATTGAAGGAGCCGTACCTTAAAAAAAATATCATGCTTCACGACTCTTGTCTACTAGTACGTAGAAATGTACCCTCACAGACTTGTCTATAGACGTCGGTACGCTACCCATACACCCTACGGTCACCATTTACATTACGGTCTACCTACCTTTTCAACTTTGCCAAAGTAGTATCAGAACACCCAGTTTTATCTCACCCCATTTAGTGAGAGAGTTTGCGCATCAGTTTGATGGTTCTCTCTCCCCTCTCATTCAGTCATATAAAGATACAAAACTAAGCTTAACTTAACTACGCCACCATTCAGTGCGTATCTGCGGGCGACAATGGGAGCGACTCGACGGCTGGGTCACCCAAATTGTTCGCAGGGTGATTGTTAGCAAATTTGTTTTACCGAAGCTTAAAGGGTTCTATCTTTTTAACGAGGCGCCATGGCTAAAGGTACTGCATGACAAGCTATATTCCGCACGCATATGAGACTTAATTGCACGGACATATGTGTGTTTCATGCATATGAAGTTGTTTAGTAAATGATATCATAGAATGACGTATTTTTTCACTAGCAAGTGTGTATGAAAGAACACATATTTACATGTTGCTTGTAGAAGAAAGGGGTTGATATGAGTAAATAAGGGAGAGTTCATCTTCTGCACAAGTATGGATTTTAATGTGTTGCATCTAAGTCATTAGAACTTATAAATGACTAGAGTGAGGTGTAGTAATTCAAGAATGTACAGCGAAGCATGTCGTGGAGAGGAAAATATTTTAAGATTTTTCGAACCATATATGAAATGCACGTATGTATACAAATCAGTGGTCGTTGTTACATCAGACTGCACAATGTGATATCTATTCAGATAGAGGCAGATACTGCAAGCTGTAATGGCGGGCTTTTAAATGAAATCGAAAGTGGTTAGGTTCATGTTGCCTCAAAATATTGTATCCAGTCTCTCCATTCTCGGAATATATTGCGAGGTATATATTTTGTTTTTCTGGCCGTGTTTGACTTGCAGTACATCCCTCTCCTATGAACGTTCTAGACAGGCTATGTTCAATTCGTACGTTGTGATGCTACTAGCAAATTGGTACCACTCTGGGCTTACTGCTGGCTGGAAGTAAGGGAAAATGCGATGTCGGTGTATGAAGATCATACGCAGGATATTCCGGAAGCTACTTTCAGTCAGCATGATATCGTATCTGTAGACTACAGCAACGCGGATCTAGGTATTGAAAGCCTTGTTTTGTTTGTGTCGTTTTAGTTTAGCATGTTGTTTTATTTGCTTTGTACTTCTATACTGATTTACTCAGAAACCACTTCATTAGTCATGATGATACTGAGCAAACTATCATTGGGGCTCAAGATAATCGCCAGACTTGACGTGTGAAGCTATGGTGTGAGTTTTATCAGGGGCTCCTTTGGTCTCGTACTCACGGCTGATCAATGGCATCACGCGACGTGAAATGTACCCCATATGCAGATAACCATAGGGTAATTTTATGAAATTTCGTGCTAGATTGAAGATCGCATGTTCTCACCCACTATTGAGCTATATTTGTGTGCCTAGTTCGGACACTGTGCTCACCTCGATTTGATTCTTGTTTTTTTTGAATATTCAGATCGTTCGGAGAAAGACGGCAACAGAGCTCCCTCGCCATGTTTGGAGCTTGATGTCCTCAATGAGAAACTATATGTACATCTTGCTGGATTCGGCCGATATGAAATTCGATGTACATCTGCGGATTATGACAAAGGTGACCTTTAGTAACGATTGCTTGCTGTGAAATATATTTTAATTCAAAAAGGAAATATATTTGGATGAAAATACAGCCCTCTTTTTCTACAATATTGTATTTAACAGGTCCTCCCGTGATTCTTGATTTGTGCATGTAATGTTTTATATATAAACTGCAAATTTTCTTGCTGGATTTGGCCGATGTGAACTTTGATGTACACCTGTGGATTATGACTAAGGTGACGTTTATGTGTATGTGTATGTGTATTTGTATGTGTATGTGTATGTGTATGTGTATGTGCATGTGTATGTGTATGTGTATGTGTAAGTGTATGTGTATGTGTGTGTAAGTGTATGTGTATGGGTATGTGTATATGTATGTGTAGGTGTATGTGTATGTGTATGTGTATATCTATGTGTATGTTTGGGTGCAAGTATATATATATATATATATATATATATATATATTATATATATATATATATATATATATATTAA